TAGATAGATAGATAGATAGATAGATAGATAGATAGATAGATAGATAGATAGATAGATAGATAGATAAAGATATTGAAGAGTATCTTCATCTATATGCCAAATGTGCCAAAGATGGAATATTGTGGTACCCTACCTCTTACTTCCCTCCTTGTAGATACTATTAAGAACTATTCATTGAGTATGATTTGTCAGCCTTTTACACATCCATCTGGTGATGATGCTGTTTATTCCACATTTTTCTAGTTTACCAGGAAGTAGGTTGTGGTCTACTTTGTTGAATGCCTTACTGAATTATAAGTATACTATGTCCACAGCATTTCGTCACTTTGTCAAAGAATGAAATAAGATGATCTGCTTTAACAAAGCTGTGCTGTCTACTAGTTATAACTTTATTTGTTTCTAGATGTTCACAGATCTGTTTTTGATTATTTTTTCCAGTATCTTCCCAGACATTGAAGTTAGACCTGTAGTTTTCTGGGTCTGGTTTTTTCCCTCTTTTGAAGATGGAATGCATGAAAGAATGTTGTCCTTCTGGTTTATGCATTATATATTTAAGACCTTGGTGTAAACTGTATCAGACCTTGGGGGTTATTATAGTCTTTGATGGCTTGTGCATTATAATATAACTATTAGTCAAATGTATTGAATGAAGGTACTGTTGTACATTCAATATGAATCTTGTGAAATTACTTTAGCTCATGCCAATTATATGTTTATTTTCTTTGCAGAAATCTCTTTACAGACTTAGAACATAAATGTGCTGAAGCCTATCAACCATTACAGACTGGACATCTGTAAATATTTTGGTCTTCTCTGGCCATGTTGTACAATTGGTGTTCCATGAGAAATTTGTCTTCATGAAGATTCCTATTATTGGTAATGTGATGAATAAATTTGAGATCCTTGGGGTTGTAGGTGAAGGTAAGCATATATTCATGAATAAATTTAATTGGGGTTTGAGAACAGATGTGAGCATAACTAGAAAGTTGTAGATGAGACATTGATTACAGAATACAATTTTTGTTTTTCCATGGCTAGAAACATACAATTTTTCTAAGCACTGATATGGCATGATAGAACTACTGACTCATTTTTTCTGCTGTTTGACCAAATTAATTCCTGATATATAACAAAAATGGAAAATCTAAATGACTGATATTATAGTAGGACAAAATAACATGAATGGAACAGCATTTTTTCTATCATAAAGGCTTTTACTATTTATGTTACAGTTTTCTAATCTTATGAGAGCTTTCTTTCTTCCTTTGAAGCCTGGGGAAAAAAAGGGCACACCCTTTTATATGTGAGATATTCAAAATCAAAAAGAGATCTTGATTGCTTGTCCAACTGAGCTTGAAGCTGTATTATAATGCTGACTCAAAACTCTCACAGATTTTCTCGTTTCCATGCCTCTACAAGCACAGATTTTTAAAAAGTAATGTTGGTTCTTAATACAAATACTGTTTTTGGTAAGTCATGACTGTATATGTGAGGATAGTAAGTGGTAGTTATACAGTACTGTTGAAAATTTTTAATTCTATCATGTTTATCTTACCACTTAGTATATATTGCTATTTATCCCTGAGTACATTTAGAAATGTTTTAGTGTAAAAATTATTTAACTTTCTAATAATTAAAGCATTCTTGCTCACCAATACTCCTCAAAATGGACTTCTGGAATTTAGTCTTTTGCTTCAGCTGCTTTATGCTACAACCATTCAAAATTGGTATTTTTTTTCAAATTAAGGAAGATAATGCTTATATGTCAAGCTTCTTAAAAACCTACTGCCCAATTTTCACTTGAGTCTAAGAATAAAATTTTGCAACATTTAACCCAAATAATAATCTCTACAGTCTCTACACAACAACATGAAATCATAGGTGCCCGTTCTGTATATGGTGTTGGCCTTTATATCATTACATATTTCCCAAGAACCTAAGATGTAGTAATGTTTCAGTATAATATATGTGGGGATCCAAGCGCTGTGGGCTTTTGTAATTGGCAGATGGAAATTTTATTAATGCACAGATTTTCTGTCACCCAGGATTTTCACAAAGTGTGCCAATAAACACTAGGATCAATTTATGCCATAATTTTTAACTTAAATTTTCAGATCTTGATACTATGATCTCTAATTCTTTGTCTTCTATTCTATTATCCCCTGATATTGCCAGATCAATTATCCACACTGTCGTTTCGCCCACAGTTAAATCTGAGCTAAGACTTATCAGTTTTTATTCGGAAATTCCAAAATATTTCAATCTGCTCATTTTTTACTAATTTTTCAACTAAACATTTTCACCAACTTTTCATTAGTGCACATGGTACTTTTAATAAATGTTTCAGTGAATCATTTTGAAGACTATATTATGTTGTTGTTTATAATCAGTTTCTGCAATCTTCTTGCAAGGAGCTGAGTATGTGATCTACTGTTTCTTCTGCTTCTTTGTAGAATCTATATTTTAATCATTTGATGATTGTTTAGTTCTGGCTGTGTTTGCATGAGTTCGAATAGCTTGCTCTTGAGCAGCTAAAATCAAACCTTTAATTTCCTTTTTTAATATTCTATTTGTAAACCATTGCCAGATCTTATCTGTATCACTTTCCCCTCTGTCTTTTGAGGAAATTGAACATGTAATGTTTTTCCTTGCCAGTATTCTGTTTGTTTTTATTACATTATTTCAATATTCATTATTGTTATCATTATCATTGTTGTTGNAAAAAGCGGGCGGGACGCGGGAAAATGCATCAAAAAGCGGGGGTGTCCCGCCAAAAGCGGGACGTCTGGTCACCTTAGTGTGTGATCACTTAACGACAATCAACCCTGGGAAGGAGGCAGTGACAAACCTCTTCTGAAAAACCTTGTTAAAAGAACTGTAGGAACTTGTCTAGGCAGTCTCTGAGAATCAGACACAATTGAACAGAAGAAGAAAAAATGAAATGAATTTCAGCAAGAATATTTTTCTGTCTGTCTTATAAGTAGTATGGCTTGGCACCAAAGGCCTCATTCCAGAGCTGTTGGCACCCCTCTTCTGGATTGCTATTTTCACTATAAAAGCATGAGATTAATATTTATGCAAATTATCTTCCTATCTTTCTATTTGGCCTTTATTCTCTTGATTTTACTTTGGCTTGGTTTTGGAAACTTTAGTATATTAATGCTTGTAAAAGGAATTTATCTTCAGTGTAAAAATACTCTTTTAGCATATTAGGATTATTTCTCAGTAAATAGAGCTGTAGCAGCCATTGTTTTTATATTTATACTTAGCAATATACAATATAATTTTAAGCAAAAGGTGCAATACCTCATTTGAGATCATATTTTGCACAACAAATAAGCATTTCTCTATTGACCTGGGGCTATAAATACACAGGCACTTACCATTTTTTCTGAATAATGTACTTTCCTTTAAAAATTCCCCCCAAAAAGTCTTTTTAGGTGCTTTTATCTCAGGCAGAATTTTAGAGTAATACTTATCTAACACAGCTCAACAGCAGTTCTTTCAGGGAAATGGGTAGTTAAGAAATATGAAAAATAAATATAACTAAATAAAAACATTGAAAAATAAGGCAGCTGAAGAAGAATAATTTAGAAGAGAAAGATAAATTGTGGGATTTATTTACTGTTATTCTGCTATAAAACATTTTTGCTATAATAGCCAATCTTACAATAATATGCTAAGTAGAAAAATTGTTATGTAGTACTCACATAATTTTCACTAGTAATAGTATTGGTTAATAGGTAAAATGTTATGTTCTTGAAATACTATTTCACTACAGATAAAATGTTGTGATATGTAATAGGATTTTTTTAATCAATGTAATAGTTATATCTCACTAATGAAATGTATTAAATAATGCACAGTTTTTTCCTTTTTTATTAAGGGGAATAGAAATTCAAATTAAATTTGTTTTTCGTAATTTTGATCTTAAATAATCAGTTTATAAAAATTATAAATATTTATTGCTAGACTCTTATGTAAAGTTAAGTGATTTGTTTGAATGATCCATAGTGGCTGAGTTAAAATGAGTTAGCCAAATAACCTCCATTATGCTAAGCCAAAATAAAAGAATCTATTTTATAGCTTAGTATGAAATGTAGTAGGAAACTTGCTTTTTGTGAAATTTTGAACAAGACTATTTAGATTGACAGTTTGTTTCTCAGAGAGGATTTAAAGATTGATCAATAATGTGTTATCAATTCAATGTCAGCGATCACAGAGTTTTCTACAGGTTTTGGGAAAAGATTTGTATATATTTTACAACCTTTCACTCTTTACCTTATAGAAAATGAAGAGGTCAAAGAAACAACTTTACGAGAACTTAAAATGCTTCGTACTTTGAAGCAGGAAAATATTGTAGAACTAAAAGAAGCTTTTAGAAGAAGAGGAAAATTGTATTTAGTGTTTGAATATGTAGAGAAAGTAAGTTATTTATTTAGAAAAAAAATGCTAAGGTGTTCTTGAATACAAATTGCTAAACTTCAAACATGTTTTATGTATAAAAATGTTATAATACAGGGGTGTCAAACTCGCATTGTCATGGCAGCATCACTTGATGTATTGGGACTTTTTTCCCCTTCACTAAACTGGGCAGGGCCATGGCCAGTGTGTGATGCATCCGGCCCATGGGCCGCGAGTTTGACAGCCCTGTTATACAATGTTATTAGTGTTCTATAGTAGTCTTAATAATATTAAGTCTTTGCAGTAATTTTTGTTTATGATCAACTTAAAATTTGACGTTGAGGGGAATAGTTTATCCTGTTTTATTTCTTTATGCCTGAAAACAATCTTCAACTATATTTTATCTTTTTCACTGGAAAATAAATCTAAATTGTGTTATATATTAAATAAAGGATAGCATTTTTAAATATAGTTAATTGATGAAGCAGTAGCCCTAGATTTATGTAATAAGCTAATGTATAAGTTATGGTTTATAAACTTCAGTGGCTAGGTTATCAAAATAGCTAAACCAAGTTCAAAGACATTATTCTTAGGGGAAATTGGTGAATATGCATTTTCTTAAAACCAATTGAATTGCTCTATAGTTGGTGTACAAATTTATAACATAATGCCATTGCTGATTGTTATTTTAATAGAGAATATTATTTGCTGCTTTAGGTTTTATTGTGCTTTGTTTTATGCATTGGTAGCACTTTTCTGCTTTTAGAAATTATTTTTATTTGCCTTTTATATTGTATAAGTTACATGATCATGTTAAATGCTTCGTTTGGTTCCTCTTGTATAAGACGGCCCTATTATAATCTATTAATGGTTGTTTAAAACATTTCTAGGTAGTGGATAAATCTTAAATTGCAGAGTTTGTAATTTAGTTCTTTCTGTCTTTAATGATGTTGAATATAGAATATGCTTGAGTTGCTGGAAGAAATGCCAAATGGAGTCCCTCCTGAAAAAGTAAAAAGTTATACCTACCAGCTGATAAAAGCAATTCATTGGTGTCATAAAAATGATATTGTTCATAGAGGTAAGTAAATTAAATTCTAGAATGTATCTTTTCCTGAAAGCATAAATATTTCTATGAATTTTGCTAGGAACATCCAGATTCTGAAAGTCTCTCCCATCAGCAGAAAATTTTCTTTTCAAGGAAAGCATAAATATGTTTTAGCAAGGAAGTTGTTGTAAATTTATTATCTATTTGTTAATTTAAAATAGTACATGAGACAAAATTTTCTTTACGATAATAAGTAAAACACACCCACACACTTCTAAAGTAACATTGATGGGAGTAAAATTGATGGGAGTTAACTCTCATCAATTTCAGGGATTTCAGTGGGTAAGAAATCCCACTGATTTTAATGAATCTAAATAACATACTTTGTGAATAATTTGTAATTTTCATTTTGCACATGTCTCTTTAATACATTTCTTTATTCTGATAATTCTTTATAAATTTTGTAATTGTAACTTCACTAAAATGTATTCATAATTGAATTTAACAAGTTACTGAATTTCAGGTTTAAAAACTAAATATTTTCCCCAGACTAGTATTAAGCTTTCTTTTAGTATAGACATTTAGTTAAACTTGGTAACTATTATTCCAATATACTTTATATTGGTTGTTCTATGATCATGCTTCAGTAACTTCTGGAAAATGAGATATCATTATCTACTAAAATTCATCAGAGTAACAGTTGGAAGAGATCTTGGAGGTCTTCTGGTCCAACTTCCTCCTCAAGCAGGAAACGCTATACCATTTCAGACAAATGGTTGTTCAATCTCTTCTTTAAAAACCTTGGTGTTGGAGCACCCACAACTTCAGTTTGAAGTTTGGCCATTATGTCTCTCTTGCTGAAGATTCCTTACAAAAATTTTCTGAATTTGAAAGAAAACCAGTTTGCTGTGGTGATTAAAGTGCTAGCCTAGGAAACAGGAGACTATGAGTTCTAAGTATCCCTTAGGCATAAAAACCAGTTGGGTAACTTCAGGCCAGTCACTCTCTCTCAGCCCAATTACCTCATAAGGCTACTGTGGAATTAAAATTAGGGGAACCCTCCCTTCCAAAATATGCCTTTTTGAGTGTTTGGAGAAAAGGTGAGATATAAATGCAGTAAATAAATAATATGCTGTACTGTTTCAATTGTCCGTTAATGCAGAACAGTGTATATGTTGTGATTTGTTAACTTTTTGCTATGCGTTTGAATATTTCAGATATTAAGCCAGAAAATCTCCTAATAAGCCACAATGATATTTTGAAATTGTGTGACTTTGGTAAGGCTTTTTAAAAAAATATATTAGATTTTTTATTACAATTCTTTATAATTAGAATTATTTTATGACAGTAAATAACCTTTTTAATTATAGTTTAATACAATACTGAAATACTGAAAAAATGAGAAAACCACACTGTTTTTCTTTTAAGCAGTTTCCTTCATTGTTCTGCACCCATAGACAGAATCGTCAAAGCTAAAAACAAACTACTTACATCATTAAAAAATATACTCTGAGAACTTCTATGGAGGAACTGTCTTCACCCTCTATCTCCCAACCAAATTATCTAAACTTTGCTGTCTGTTGTTCCTCTGGAATGCACACACACCCTTCTTGGGAATCTAAAACACATTCCATCATGTCATCTCAGTATGCTATCTGGTTATCATAAATCAGTGTTCTAAACCAGTGTTTTTCAACCACTGTGCCGTGGCACACTAGTGNGAGTCTGGCGGCAGCTCCAACGGCTCCTGCCGGGCCACAACAGTTTACTCTCCAGTAGTTTAGCAACCAAAAATAACCAGTTCTTCAAGGACAGGTGTCATGGTCGCCTCTGTCCATTTCCTAGGAAAGAAAAACTCTTGGCTCCATAGATTCAGAGAAAAGGTGCTTTTACTAGGAGAGAACTGAATGCAACAAGTTTCAGGCAAGATCTCAGGCAAAAGCATGTGAAGCAGCAAATTGAAACAAACACAGAGACCAACATCCTTGTAGCTAGGCAACTCTGGCTGCTGCATACCAGAACTAGAAAAACTGACCTTAGAGAGATAAGCAAAGCCCAGACCATAATTACAAAGCTGCAATGAAAAATTCTCCACTGACCCCCACCCCATGGCAGCTAGGACCAAGCTAGCTGACATTAGGGGAGTTAAATGTAATTAACAGGATAGTTGTAGAGAACCTTACAATGATATTTCTCACAAGTTAAAATACAAAAGAAACTTCAAAAAGTGCAATTAAAACCAAGGTGATCAGGTGATAGGAAAAGATAGAAACCTGACTTTCCGGCTCTCATACCAGAAACTTCAGTCTTCAAGATTTATCTTCTCAGATGGGTCCACAGTTTTCCAAAAGTCATCTTGGATCAATCCTGGGTGCCCACGTTCAAATCTGGAGAGCAACACAACCTAAGAGCCAGCCTTGGCAGAAAAATCAGCTTATCATCACATCACTCTGCTACTCAGCATGCCATCTTGAGGGAATAAATGCAAAATAATATTGTGTTACTGTATCTATTTTACAAACAAAGCATTCACAAGTATACAAGTATAAATCTGGTTTCAGGTCCAAGAACAATATTTGTTTTGAACAATAAGTAAATGAAAACAAAAGTGAAAATTTATGTAAGTGTTTATGGGCATCAAGCTTTAACATGATATTGTGGATTTAAACTTTTTTGTATAATGATTTTTCCAAATGTAGAAGTCATTATATAGGGGGGAAATGAAGATGGTTTCCTTTTAAAATAAAAATAAAATTCCCCCTGAATTAAGTTTGACTCTTCACAACATTGATCTCTACTCAGCCAAGTATTAATTTTATTGGTCTGTGCTAAAATACTGAAGATCAATCTGGATGATCAATTATCACCTTAACTAAGCATTCTGTTATAAGAACCAGTATTAAAATAATTTATGTAATTCAATTGCAAAGATGGATGGGGGGGTGAGGACTAGGCTCTTATAGAAAATTTAATGCCAAGCTTCTGTCATCCCTGTAGAAGATAGGAGTAGATTTCCTGACTAAATTTGATTCTCTCCTCAAAGGTTAAGAGACAACTAGATGCCAGTAAGGTAAAGCTGATAGATAAAATATAGATAGGTGAGTCAAGATAGTTTTCCCCCAGCACTGCTTTTTAAAATTTGTAGTTACATTTTTTTCTCACATTTTGCCTCTTTTCCCATTCCAGAAAGAAAAATCTGAGACTTATATTATGAGATTCTTGTAGAAAGCCTGCTACAAAAATACTTTAAGAATAGTGTTCAAATTTAAACTCATTTTTAAAAGCCTAATTAGTATTTTTAAAATCTGATTTAGCTATTTTTTGGATTATTACATTTTTAAAATTTATAATAATATGTACCGAGAAGAATTGCAATAATAAAAATAAATTTTAAAATGATTAATAATTAATCATTTAGTGTTTAACTATAGTTTCATACAGTTCTCTTCCTTGCATGTATACAAAACAATAGCAGAAATAACTTTATCCATTTGCTCTGAAAACTACCAGCAAGAACAAAAGCCTACTTCATCAAGTGTAAACTAAATAATGTTAAAATAATTTGGTAGAAAGCTGTTCTCCAGCTTTAAAAATTGCTATAAAAGTTTTGCTTCAACTTGAAACTCTATGCATGACCAGAAATCTGTAGCACAATATGGTATCAGGTATTTACTAACTAAAAATATGACTATTCTTTCTGGTGAACATATATTTTTCTTCCTTTTTTAGGAGACACATGAAATTGTGGCCATTAAAAAATTCAAAGACAGTGAAGGTACTTTTTTTCTATTTGAATATATAGTGCATTTACTTTTTTAATTAATAGGTTGTTATCCAAGATTTGGAATAGTGCAGGAGTAGGAGTTTAAGAATTTATTGTCTTGTGTCAACATACCAACTATGAAGAGATCAGAATTATATTTCAAAACTTCTTGGATAGATGGTGGAGATAGTGCTTAATATGCAAGCTTTCTACATGTCTGTATTTGTTCAGACCTGCCTTTCTCAATTTGGCACCTCCAGATATGTGACATTGCAGTAATAAACACTGAATTTATTAATGAGCTTTTGTTTCATTAGAAAATATAGTCAGCATTTTTAAATTATTCTTACTATGATATTAACATATTTCAGACAGAATTTACTATGATTTGATTACCATACATTCAGAATAAATCTGAGTAATCTGAAATGTTTCCTGATAAGCAATTTATTACTTATCTAGATAGCTGAGTCAGAGTCTGTTTGTGTACATATCAGCAGAAATTTAATTCAGAAAAACCAACATGACTTAATATGTAGTTTTAATATGTAGTAGTTGAACTGTGCATGATTCTAGATCATTGAGGGAATAATAGCTAGCAAATAATATCTCCTGATCCTGGTTTCACTTTTAAGGGTTATAGAAGAAGATCTCTTAGCACTAATAACAAATGTTCTTTCATTTTGCATTGAACCTGAAATGGATTGAGAGCCAATTTGGTGTACAAGTAGTCCTTGACTGGTCATTTAATGAAAAATCAAAATTCTGACAGCCTTGGAAAGGGTGCTTAACAGCCCAGAAAGCACCTCTGGCTATCAAAAACTGTACATCACCACCCCACCAAGAGTCATGTGACTGTGATCTGGGTGTTTGACAGCCTGTTCACACTTAGTGCCAGTGGCCAAATGCCCCATTATCTTGTGATTGCCATTTGCAATCTTCTCTGCTGGCTTCCCCAGAAAGTTAGTGGGAAAAGCCAGCAGGGAAGTAGCAAGCTGCTGTTGCCTGCCAAGAGGGCTTCCTCTGGTTACTGGGGGCTGAGTGAACTTCTTTGGCAGGGTGGAGAAATGGAGCTCAGATCCTGAAGATCTGTGTTCCATTTCTGCACCCCTGCATACTCATTCCCTTCCTGAGAGGCACCCCATGCTCCTGATCTGAGCCTCCGTCCACTTAATGATCCGTGTGTGATAAGGTGACCAGATTTTCAGATTGGAAAAGAGGGACGCCCTTGACCCGGGGGGGGGGGGGGCTTGATTAAAAAAATTTTTTTTTGTCAAAACGTCACCCCAGGACACTGAAACCAGCATAAATACGAATCTGTTGCCAAACAAAATT